TGTAAAAGAGTAATGTCCTTTTCCCTCAATATTCTATTCTTCTGATCCTTTAATTTCTCCATAACCTTACAGTATGTTCTGTATATACTTGAGCTTGCTTTGTTTGTTTTCTTTACTCCCTGTTGAGGCTGAAAAAAGTTATTCTGATGAGTAGGAGATGCACCGGGCAATAAATGACTATTCAGCACATTCATTGACTCAGACATATTTAGCATCACTTCTCCTGTTTCCTTCTTTGTATCTATTCCTATCACACAGATGTGCCATTTTGACCTTTTCATTACTCAGAAGAAAACTCAAAACAATTTTTGCAAATGCTTATCTGCAGCTGTTAAAGTAGCAGCAAAAATTGAATCACCGGCTCTCTGTGGAGTGTTGGCAACCCAGACGTGAAAACAACTGCCTGTTGCCTGTAGAAGTTTAAACAACTGGTTCAGACCTGTGAGATGCCTGTCTTTCACTAAATGTGTTTGTAGTTCTAGAGTTTGTAGCTTCTAGGTTAGAGAGGAAAACAGTGAAGGACAAAGAGAGACTTATTCAGAAGAAATCCACTGTCTTCATTGAGCCACTATGCAAAAGCTCTACACTTGCTTTCTTCTGGACCTTTGAAAGCCACTCGTGGGTCTGTGGAAGCTGTCTGTTTTTTACAATTCCCAGCTTGCTTGGGTTGCACTATAAAGACTAAAAATAAGAGACTTTATCCACTGTCCATGGTTTTGGAATGGTCAAAGCTAAGCTTGTAAAACCTAGAGATAGAACTCTGGAATAAAGATCACACAGATCTCTCAGACAGATTAGAGTATAAAAGTGAATATAGAATACTTCTTCAGAACAAGGAAAACCTATCCTCCCCTTTCCATTCTCATGGCAGCTGCTTAATTCTGGAGTCACGCAGGAGCTTGGGCTGCCCTTTGGGCCCTTCTGCAAGTGCCCTGGCAAATGACCTTGACTATTACTATTCTGCAAAGTTGAATGTCAGATTTCTTTCCTGTGCAGTTCCATTGTGGTAACTCCCATCCTGATAGGAAACTTCTACCTCACTAGGGCATCTTATGTCATGGAGTTAATGCAAGATGAAAAAGAATCTCTCTGAAGAGCTGTGGTCCATTTACAGGTAACATGGTACTCACTATGTAATCTTCAGCCATCTCTTAGTGTTTGGAACAAGGTGAAGTATTTATCACAGCCCTCAGTGCTTGGATTTCATCTTCATTTTGATACTCTTTGCAACCCTTTTGCCTAAGGAAATTACCCTACTGTCATGATTTATTTAGTGAGATCTATCTTGCCAGCATTTGGATATTAAAAAAAAGAAAACCCACATTTGGATATTTTATAAAAAAACCTTTCCCCTGTGGTTTTGACCTATAATTTTATGTATTCACTTAGACTTTTTAGTCATTAGAATAAAACTGCTTAGTTTGTATGAAATATTTTATTGGTTTTTATGTATTTTCATCATTAAATATACTTGGGTTATAACTCAACTCTTTGTGCACAAGCTGGCCTTTCATATCCTTAATAATTTATAAGCTCCATAGAATTACTATGGACCTTTTAAGCCAAATATCTTGTATCTTAATATATTTAGCATCATTTCAGCTTCGATTTAGGAGAGAAAAAAGATAATTCTGTGGCTAGCCTTGCTGTCTCAAGAGAAATTGAAGAAAAGAAATGTTCTCCATTTCTTGCTTCTAAAAAGTTCAAGATGCTTGAAAAACCTAGAGTGTGGAAATGCTGCATATCAGAATTAATAGAAGCATGCCAAGTAAGTGACCTCACAGACTGATGAACATCACAGGAGTCAGAGAAGGAAACTGCCCATCAAACTTCACTACAGACACTCCTAAGTGTAGCAGTGCATGACCAAAAGATACCTGGGCAGGATGCCAGATAGGTTACCAGGCAAAGGTGTAGGCTCCCTGCAGTCTTAGGAAATCAGGCCTTTCACTTTCACTGGTTGCAGACTGACAGCACCCATCAGGTGCATGGGGTATTGAAACAGGCCCTGACGCTTTTCCAAGCTTGGCATTTCTTCCCCCAGGATGCCACATTTAGATGCCATTGGAGTGAAGAACGCATCTGGGAATAATGAAAACTTAGTACGCATTTTTCAGCACTTCAAGTCAATTGGTAGTTGGAATTGTATTTCCTTATTTTTATTCTTCCTGTTTTTCTTTCTGTCTTCAAGTTGTAAGAGAATGGAGTTTTGTAGGAAGAAAATCGGCTTTTCTCTCTTCTCAGTTTCACATTTTTATAGAGTCCCATTGGGAATCGATATTCCTGAAATAAAGCAGCTTTTCTCATCTGCTTCCTTCTAATCAAGTAGAATTTGTCTTCTTTTGGAATAGTAGGATGTTTTAAGCACTGGTGCGTCTCAAAGAAATGAGGCTGTTTCCTTTATAAATTTGTGTTTTATAAAATGCAATATTATTGAAGGATACAATAATTTTTCAGTCCCTCTGATGTGTACAAAACTGCTACATAGAACCATTATGTATTGTGAGGAGCGATGGGAATGAAAGAGGGCTTTGTTTGTGACTAGAATTTCTAAATTAACTGAAAATGAATCATTCTCTATATTTCAGTGCAGCTGATATCACTGGAAATGTGTTAATGGTGAGACTGATCGCTGCATTTCACAATTGTATTTTGCTTCTATTTGTCATTGTGATGTCATAGCTACATTCTGATTTTTTAAAATCAAGTAATCTTTAACCAAGTCCTCTTGTCTGCTTAGGGAAATAGCACCCCCGAAAGACAGGGTTTCAGGGCCCTTTCATTATTAGGGCAGTGCGTCTCAGACTTTTAATGTACATGTGATTCCCTGTGGATCCTTTTTAACCTTCTGATTCTGAATTCACAGGTCAGGGGCAAAGACCCAAGACTCTGCTTTTCTAACAGTTGCCTGTGCTGCTATTGCTGCTATCTATAGAACCACAGACAAAATTTTAATAGCAAGACTCTAGATATCTTTACATAAAACTCCCAGATTTAATGATTTGAATTCGGAGGGTAAAGGGTAGGGTGGCATTTGGTATCTCTAAGGACAACTCAGTGACTGAAAGTGTACCTCCGTACAAGCCTGATGGTTCACACTCTGGAGGTTACACCCCGTGTGCAAAGGCTGCGTAGCTTCTGTGTCCTCTACTAGTATTCTAGAAGCAAATTAATGAACAGCTTATGTTCAGTTTCCTGGAGGATGAAAGTGTTTTACTGTGTTCCCATCTTAATGTGCCTGGAGCCTAGCATGTTCTCTGGCACGTAGCCAATTAATGAGTTGAATTGCATCAAATTGAATTCATTGAACTTCATTAGGACAACATGGAGAGGATTTGGTTTTGTCCATTTAAAACCACTTGTTTTCTCTTTAAATTTAAAATTCTGTCAGTAATTTATAACTAATTTCCAAAGCTATGTACTTCTCATATTTGCTTAAAGTGCAACATGAAAAAAAAATAAATACAAATTAAAAGTAATGGATACTCAAGACTCTCAAAACTATTTTTTTCTTGGAATGCTAAACAGAATGCTATTTACAATAAAAGGACTTTGGTAATTATTTCTTATTTAAAGATTTTATTCTGGGGACAATAAGGAAGCATTCCAGGACCATTTTGAAAGATTCAAACCTGCTTTGCTGTGCAGAGATTACAGATTATTCTTGCGTCCTCAATAAAATATATAAACCCAAAGATTTCAGTTGTATATATGAGTGTACATGGATTTGAATAAATTATTGTAACAATCACATTATTGCATGAATGAAACTTTTTTATTTTTGAATATTTGCTTTGCTTTTTAAATTTTTAACAGCTTTTTTCAGATATAATTCACATACCATACTGTTCATTCATTAAAAGTCTACAGTTAGCAATTAGTATATTCACAGAGTTGTCTACACATTGCATTATCAATTGGAGAACATTTTCATTACCCCAAAAAGAAATCTTGCACACCTCCATAACCCTCTCCCCATTCTTCCATTTCCTCTAGCCCTTGGCAACCACTAATCTATTTTCTGCTGCTTTACATTTGCCTATTCTGTGCATTTCATATAAATGAACTCATATGACATATGATCATTAATGATGAGCTTCTTTCACATAGTATAAGGTTTTCAAAGTACATTCAAAGTGCTTCATTCCTTTTTGTGGCTGAATAATATTCCATTGCATGATTACACCATATTTCATTTACCTGTTCATTCGTTGGTGGACATTTAGGTTGTTTTAGCTTTTGCGCTATTATGAATTAAGCCTTTATAAACATTCATATACAACTTCTTGTATAGGAAATGTTTTAATTTCTCTCAGGTATATACCTAGAAGTAGTTTTCCTGATTCACATGGTAACAGTATATTTAACCTTTTGGGGAACTACAGATTGTTTTCCCAAGAGATTGTATCATTTTACACCCCTACCAGCAGTATGTGAGGGTTCCAATTTCTCATAGTCTCTCCAACACTTGTTATTACCTGTATTTTTGACTGTAGCCGTCCTAACGAGTTAAAGTGCTATTTCATTGCGAGTTTGATTTGCTTTTTCCTGGTGACAAATGATGTTGAGCATCTTTTCATGTGCTTGTTGACCACTTATATCTTCTTTGGATAAATGTCTAATCAGAGCCATTGCTCCCTTTTAATTGGGCCATTTGTCTTTGTATCATTGACTTAATAAGAGTTCTTCATATTCTCTTACTATAAGTTCCTTATCAGATATATGATTTGAAAAAGACAGTTTCTTATTCTTTGGTTTATCTTCAACTTCTTGACAGTGTCTTTTAAAGCATGAAAGTTAACAATTTTGATTAAATCCAATGTATTCATTTTTTTCACCCTTTGGTCTCCTATACTTTTAATGTCACATCCAAGGAGTCAGTGTATAATCCAGTGTCATAAGGTTTACTTGTTTTCTTTTAAGAGTTTTATAGGTCTCACATTTAGGTCTTTGGTCAAATTTCACCTAACTTTTTATATTGTATTCTTCTGTTTTTTAAGTGCTGTGATCTTGGGTACCATGCAAGCCTGAACAGAGCCCTAAGGACATATCTCTCTGCGGAGTATAACCTTGAAACCTCCAGACATGAAGGCTTAGACATTATTGAGAATGCCGTTGACAATTTAGAACCGAGGAGTGACAAGCAGAGATTCATGGAGATGTACCCTGCTGCATTCTGTCCACCAATGAAATTTGAATTTCAGTCTCACATGGGTGATGAGGTCAGTAACTGATGATTTTAAAATTAATGAATTGTCTCTTCATTTATATTTCTCCTCACAGGTTGTAACACAAAAGTTGTAAGAATTCCCAGTTCTTTTCTCTCTTCTACCCTTGTACAGGATCTCAGCATAATACTATGCTAAAATCAGCCACTACTACCTTTTAAAGCATGGATCAATTGAATGGCAAACAGATAAAGGTGCTAACTTGCCTAAGCCATTACAGAATAATTGGCAAGGTCTTCCTCCACCTCAAAACATTCAAATTTGAATTAAAAAAAACAAAAAGAAGGGGCCAGGGATTTAGCTCAGTGGCACTCTGCCTACCTTGCAAGCATGAGGTCCTGAGTTCGATCCCCAGTACCAAAAAAAAAAAAATTTAAAAAAAATTTTCGATAACCCAATGGAATCTTTCTGAAGACTCTTTATAATCCTGACTTGAAGATCTCTATATTGAAAAATATTGTAAATGGCAAGAAAATAGGGGGGGAAAGTGCAAAATACATTTTAAGACTCAGGTTTGCTCCAAACTGGCAAAATGAGCATCAGAAATTATCTATTGTGTCTTATATTCTTTATATTAATTTAGCTTTCTGTTGTATTTTACAAAAACATAACATTTGAGATAATTATGAATTATAGTTGTTTATTCTGTTGTCTATGAGCATGAGAAAACAAGAAAAAACAAATAATGGAGCATCTATATAGCACTAGATGGTCTAGCTATGTAAAGTAAAACTCCCACAAAAAGCTCAGTTTTAGCTTATTGTGATGATAGTCTGTTATTAAAAGTAGATAAAATTATAACATTCATGAAAGATTTCTTTAGTGTTACATTTTTTCTGAAATACCATTAAGACATGCTAAATATGTGTGTTAGCTCTATTTCTATTCATTTTTGTTTAATAAATTACTTTACTAGAAATAATAAGTACAGAAAAAAAATAGTTAAGTACAGATCACACATCCCTAGCCCAAAAATCTGAATGCTCCAAAATCCAAAATTTTTCAGATTTTGGAGCATTTCATATTCAGGATTTTCAGAGTAGGGACACTTAACTGATAAAGACCATGGAGATATCCCCAAATCCAACAAACTTCAAAATCTTAGATACTTCTGGTCCCAAGCACTTCAGATAAAGGAGAAGCAATCTGTAGTTTTTATGTCAATAACACATGAATTTCAACAAACAAAATGAGTAGCTTATTCCACCCAGAATTATCCCTCCAAAACCAAATGGTTGCTGTTTTAATTTTTCCATTGTGGATATGTTAAACAGAATGATAAAATATCACAGGCAAGTGACTTCAGTTGCATTTTAATGGTTCTATTATTATCATTATTATTATTATTTTAATGAATTGTATCTCTTGTCCTTATGGCCAGTTTTGCCGGGGAATGGTAATTTCTCTGATGTTTTGGAACCCCATTAACAGGAGCCAAGATCATTTCTTTGTTAAGGAAAATGAGACAAAATTGTTTCTGGTACAATTTGGAAAATCCTTTAACTTTATCCCTAATTGAAATCATGGCCAAAATATCCTCTACCAAAGCCTAATTTAAATTGCCCCTTTTTTGTTCAGTTTTACTTTTTATTAGTACATGTTTGTGGTACATAATAACCACATTCTCATGGAAAGCTGGTACATGCTCCTCTTTAAGTAGATGGTGAATCATACAACTTGGCTGATACTGGCTAGTAAAACCATGGTTGAAAATTGCTAAAAGTAGTCATTCACATTTTCTGAGTTTTTACTACATGCCACACATGCTCTGAGTGCTTGGTATATATTGTTTCATTTCATTGTCACAACAGCCTTATACTGTAGGAAATCTTATCCCTATTTTACAGATGAGGAAACTGAAGTTTTATAGTTTATCATACTCACTTGGCTAGTAGGTGACAGAGCTGGAATTCAAGCACAGCATTACAGCCCACCCTAACCAGCAAGCCCTGCTGTCTCTCCTTCTGCCTGTATAGTGCTCTTGGACCATCCTTTGCACTCTGCCCTCTGCCCAGCAAGGGAGACCTCAGCATCATTGCTCCATCTCAGGAACTGCCTGTTCTCAGAGCAGTGCTTCCTAAAGCTGCTGTCTTCCAGTAGCCAGGCCAAGCAGCTGCATCCTGTACTTCCCACTTATGTCCACATCTCTTTAAAACTGAAACTTTGAGGCAGCTGCTGTAAGCAAAGATGTATTGGAAGCTTAGGATCAACGCGACTCCCTCAGCGTGGACAGAGGAGACCTTTCCCCCCCAGAGTATGGTTGCTTCGGTCCTGTTGTAACTGCAGTTTCTGATTCTCCATCAGGTGTGTCAGGTCAGTGCCCAGCAGCCAGTCCAGGCGGAGCTCATGCTCAGGTACCAACAGCTGCAGTCCCGATTGGCCACTCTCAAAATCGAGAATGAGGAGGTGAGCATGCTTTCTGCCCCACTGGTAACCAAGTTCTGATGTAAACTGGAAGACAGTCTCAGTAACCTAAGCATACTGAAGGCAGTCACTCAGTCGTCCACTTGCAGCTATCAGGCTTGCTGCAATATTCTCTGTGTAGGAGATAAACGCAAAGATTGTACATTCTTCTATCAAATAATGCCTTAACAGATTTACAATATAATTGTTTTCTTAATTTGTATTTCCTACTAAAAATAGTTCATAGATTATTTAATTCAACATATACATTGAAAAATGTACAGTCATGTGTAGAATGCAACTCTGGCTGACAGTTTAATCTAAACCTAACTTTGGAAATTAACACTTGTTTTGGGTTTCCCCCTTTTGTGCTTTTTTATATTATCTAAATGTTTGGTACTGAACATGGCATTACTCATAAAATTGATTCAGAAAGCATATTTTGAAATAGTACTTGAATGAGGATAGAAAAAAGTTTATTTGCTGACACCCATATATTGAAAAGAGTAGAATATGAAATGTGAATTATAAATTTATGTTGAGCCAGGAAGTAATTTTACGGTTCAGTTGCCTGTTTCTGAAATTAGCTTAATTGGATCCACATTCTTCTAATTGGATCCATAGTCTCCTAAAATAAAAATATGAACCACAATGTTCCTTGTATTCATCAAGGCTTTCAGTTGTAATTTATAAGAACCAATCCAACTTAAGTTTAAAAGTTAACTTATTGATCAATATTTGTAGTAGCCCCAGACATCACTGAGTTTGGAGTAAATTACATTATTGGAAATATCTCTTCCCCCTTTTCCTCCCCCCCGCCATCTCTTTGAAGTGATTTCTTCATGTGTGTTGGTAAGGTTTTAGGCATAGATCCATGCCTACATGGCCCCTTGTAGCTTGCCATCTCACCCATCCCACCATCCTTAGCCATGAAATAAGATCAATTCTTCATTGGCTGGGCTTCATTTGTGCATACTTCTGGACCAACCATTACATCTAGGAAATGAGATTCCCCAATTTGCTAGCCTAGATATTGCACCAGTCATAGAGTCCTATGATTGACAATCCCAATGGAGATAAGGTATTTCTAGAGATAGACAACTTCCAGAATGAAAAAATGTGGAACAGAAATCAAAGCACAAAGTCACATTGACAAAGTAAATTATCAAAATCCACTTTAGCACCCTGTTTCATTTTAATTTCACCTGAATGTTTTTAGAGCAATATGTTTCTAGGCCTTTATAATTTGACCAAACCCAGTGTAGCTTTCTGGTTTCCATTCTTACTAGAGGAACTAAACCAGGAAACAACTGATGTGATGATTTCTTTTTAACAAAGTTCTACAAGTGAGACTTTCCAAAAAGATACTGCTCTTCTTGAGGTAGTGTTTTAGTTTAGGGTTTGGCTAAGCACCAGGAAATACTCACCCGAGGTGATTTATTGGATCTTGATAGATCTATCATGTGTATGTTTGGTGATTTCCAATATTTTTCAGATATATCCTCCTGCTGTTTTATTTGGAATATATTCTCTAAACTCTAGGAAAATAAAGTGCTATACACAGATCAAAACTGGCGGCCCACAGAACTGTTTTATTTGGCATCCAAAGTTTTGGCTTCAAAAAAAAAAAGAAAGAAAATCTAACAACTCTAGCTCTGTGTTGCCCCATGCAGTGAAGAGATGGAGCAGCTGAATTCTACTCTGCTATAGTTAGTCAACTCCTTGTTTTCTTATATCAAACTACTTGCGTTACTACCGGCCCTTGAATTTATGACCCTTAGTATATGCCACTTTAGGCATAATGTGCCAATGTGCAGTGTCCTTACAAACTGATAGAGACAGGCAGTGCTTTTTGAGGATTAATGTTTAAAACTGAGCTGTAGTGGGCTGGGAATTTAGCTCAGTGGTTTTGCTGCCTGCTGCACAACCATAAGGACCCGAGTTCAATCCCCGGTACCAAAAAAAAATAAATAAAATTGAGCTGTTTGTCCTGACATTTCTTGCGAGCATGACTAGCAGTTTATGATTTGTTAGATATAGAACAGAATTCATTATAATGAAATGGGATTCCAAAAAAGGAAAGATTTAAATTAGAGTTTTCACGATCAGTAGATTTCATAGGTACCGAGGGAGGAAAAGATATTTCAATATTTATCAAAGTACCCTGGGAAAATGGAGTAGTTTGGTCTTCACTACTACGGCTCTCTTTGGGCATGAGCTAATGATGCAAGTGACATCATAGGCCAACAGGCTTTGAGAGCCAAGTTAAGTTTTGTTACAAAACTTTTTGGTTCAGCTTATTTCAGTGCATAAATATTTTCTGAGAATCTTTGACACCTCAAGTATTTTGCCAACTATGGATAATTCAGAGATGAAGAGTATCTGACTAGCATGAGAGACAGATTATAACAGGTAATTTGCTTGAAAACAGCCTAGCTACCATTGCTTATCTGGAGTCCCCCTGTAGCTCTTTTCTTTACTGTAAATAAAAGAGTTGCCTCTAACTTCCTCTGATAAGAGCAAGAGCAAAAAACCGACACATTGGTATCAAACAAAAAAATACTAGTAAAGAAACACATGCATAATTTTCTGCCTCTGTACAACTATTAAGTCCAAAACTCACTGGAAAGACTTCAGTAAACTAAAAATACATTATGACTGCCCATTACAAGGTCAGTCTTGAGGGATAAATTCATCCAAGTTTACAGAAGCATGGCCAGTGCAATTAAGTAAAGCATGAACCTTTTCACCAAAATCTTAGACTACTATAAATTGGCACCACCTGAAACAGTAGGGTGTTCCCTCAGAACAGAATTTCTATCCTAAGAGCCTACAGATCATTTCTGGCCCACAGGCTCATTTTCTTTCCTATATAGTGCTTCATTTTAAAAAGTTAGTTGCTCTCTTGGGCGTGGCGGCACATGCCTGTAATCCCAGCCCCCAAGAAGCTTTGGCAGAAGGATCACAGAGTGCAAAGCCTGTCTGGGCTGCACAGTGAGCTCATGGGCAACCTGAACTAGAATGAGACCCTGTATCCCCCCGCAAAAAAAGAAAAGAAAAGTTGCTCTTATTTAAAATTTGGAAGTTTTATATAAAACTATCAGTAGCCTGCTCCTAAAAACATTTGATCTAATTTCAATTAGACCATAGGCAAGATGATAGGGGGTTGCACCTGAGTGATAGGTGCTTCCCTAGACTCACAGTGTGTGCTACCTCTGCCATGCTCTCCACTCAGCCCACTTTGCCTCGTTTTTATTACTTGGTTGCCCTTAAAGATATTTAAGTTTGCAGCACTTGCCTTAAAAAAAAAGAGGAGAGATCAGGTAACATCTATGAAATGGCCTCAGTATACTCATAAGTATTGTGAAGGGCTTGATTAAATTTGTGATTGATGGAGATTCAGACATCTAAAGTCACTGCACAACTTCACATTTACCTGGTAAGCCTTTATAAAAGACCTTTCCATTTCATTATGCTGTGTATTTGGATGCGTAGTGCTCAGTCTCATGACAATCTTAGTCCACCAGTGAATATTTATTAGTGCCGGCTTTGTATGTGCAAGAATTCGAGCAAGACCTGCCACCATTTAGCTTTGTTTTCAGTTTTTTTAATTATGAAAATAACTTCATAAAAAGTTAAAACACTAATAAACATTACTGTCAAAGTCAGTATTTAAAAGCAAACTCAACATAAATAATCATTGACACCTTTCTCGTTATAAACATTTTCAAAACTTTCCAACCTAATGTTGTACAGTCTTGTGTCTTGCTTTCTCAAAATTTATTTTTAATATTTGTCCTAGGATTTTTGCCTAGAGGTTATTCTTTTTGCTGCTTTCTTTCAAAGGTCACCCCATACATTGCAGTCCCCTTTGCTTAGAGTTCCTCCTCACTCCCATTATCTACACATGGCTGGAGAAAGAAAAAAAGTGATTTATTTTAAGCAGAGAAACTATTCCCCTCACATTTCTTAGGACAGTGTTGATTTTATGTACTTTGCCCATTTTCAGACCAATTGTCCCAATATTTGGTCTAGAAAATAAAGTCTTCTTCAGCATGTTTCTTCTATGCTGAGTAAAACCTCATGTATGAAACAACTAGACACTGTTAAATTATACTAGTAGATTTACCACTCTGAGGGGAATGAAGAAGCCTATGATGTTTCCTCAATCAACTTGCAACAGTGTTTAATGAACTGATAGCCTCAGATAAATTTTCCTAGCACCACTTAAAATCTTCCATCAGCAGCTTGCTCAGGAATATTTCACAGACTTTTCCAAAAATATATTCCTTACACAAGAAATTGTAACAATGATGAGCAAAGTTTTAAGCAAACACTGAGACAATTTTCATGACATCAGAACTGAAGAAAGCAAGAGATATTTTGGTTATACTTCTACCTAGGGTAGAAAAAAAAAAATCACATCCCCTCCCCCCATTTTCTCATACTAGCAGTGACTACAGCAGAATCCCAGGCCATATAAATCAGTGATCAACTCCTCATGGGGAATTCTCAAATTCTTTTAAGACTTGGCATAAAATGTGCAACTTGATAAGTACTTAATTATAATTACTGTCTCAGATCTTCTCTGTGGCCTTTAACTTCATTTTATATATTTAAGCATCTATGACATGCCTGTAACCTTCTCTGATGAGGAAGCAGAGAAAGCCCAGGAAAACCTAACAGTTATCTCTTAAGTGATGTCATCATCCTGGCCAAAACTGAAAACAGGATCAATTATTGTACTGGTCAGCTTTTCTATTGCTAGAACAAAGTACCCAATACTCACAAATTACAGGAGGAGAGATTTAATTTGCCTCCCAGTTTCAGAGGAATCCAAGGCAGAAACATCATGGTGGAAGGACATGGTGGAGCAAATCTGCTTAGTTTATGGTGGCTGGGAAGCAGGTCAGAGGGCTGGTGCCAGAGAGAAAGATCAGCTGTAGACCCCAAGGTCACATTTCCATGACCTACCCAGCCACACCCAGAATGAAGTATGCTTT